CACTTTTAGCACCAGTAAGACTTATGTGGTCAGTTGAAAAACAGCGCATTTCTACATCAAATGAAAGTGCTATTAATAATTTCCTTAAATGCTGATTAAGTGTGTACTATCACATTAATGCTTAAAAACATCGAGTATCAGCATATATTGCTTCTCCTTAAAGTAAAAATTCATTGTGAGGATTTCTCTCCAAAAGAAGGGCCTCAGACAGTGAAGCAAACAGATCTGTGGACAGTGCTCGAGAGGTCATGGTTTCAATTTCCCTCCAGCCAGACAACAACTGGCAGCAACATCTGTTTAATCTTCTCTGGGGCCCAAAACATACGAACTTCAAGAAAAAAAGACCTTGCACGAGGGAGTAATTTGATGATCATTTTGATTTAGACTTTTATCCTCTCAGACAAATCACACTAGATTCATGTTCTGACATGTGAAATTAAGTTGCTAAGAAATCATCGCTCTAACAGGAATTCGATGCCTTTTAATATGGCTAAGTAGATATTATGTATTGGGACTTTTAAGGCTGAATTATGAGTTTGCTTGATTTTTTTCAAGACAAAGCATGCTCATAGATCCTGTAGAGATATTTTAAATCATTTCATCACATTGCTTTCTATCTCACTCAAATATCTTACAGTTGACAGGATGATATTCTTAGTGAATAATAGTATCATTATCAAGGGGTTAATAGTCAAACCTAACTCAACACTATTGTCTGGAGTATCATGATCATGGGTCAAAGAGATATAAAGAAGTAAACGGATGTTTTGCAGATGTATTTGGCAATATTTATATAAGAATAACTGTGAAATATAAATCAAAAGCAAGTTTTAAGTTTTTGCTTAGTTCCTATTTAGCTACCTATATCATGAGACTTCATTAATGACCAATTTTGCTTCCTCTGTCTGTAGTTAAATTACAAACTTGTACAGGTAGATAGATACTAGTCTACTAAAACACAGAAAACTCAGTTTTCTCTTCTGTGTCTTCAAGATAAGGTTTTTCTAAGTGCATCTCTAATTATTAACATACGAGATGGAAGTCAGTATCAATGAAGACAATGTATCTACTGCATCTATTATATTGAATTTGCTATTCGTTTGTTTTCCTCATCCAGGAGAGATTGGAGAGATGGCAGTACATAAGAAAACTCTACGAAATTCTGTGTAATGATGAAGAGAGGGAATAATGCTGTGTTTTCTTGTTTGTTTGTTTTGAATTATAGCAAACTTGGTTGCTTAAAACAACATCAATTGAACGTCTCATTATTCCAGAGGCACAAATACCAATTTGAAGGGTTTTCAGGGAAAAGTTCACACCTTAAGGTCAATACCTGCTTTTCTTTTGCAGCTTCTGGTGTCTCTAGTTCTATGCTTTGGGGCTTCCGTAATAACTTTCCTTCTTTCACTACGTGACCTCTCTGTGCTTCTCATGTGTTCTGCTACCTGAAAGGTTGCCATTGGATTTAGGGATTGTCCAGCAAAGCATATCTGATTCTTAACTACAATTATAGGTTCTGAGATTCCATGGAATGGCAGAAAGGTGAAGAGCTTTCCAGTTCCCCTCTTTGCTCTCTTTCAAATCTGTGGCCTTCCTTTCTCATTAATTATGATTTAAAGTATATAAGTGTATGTACTTAAAGTATATAAGTGTATACATACATATCCCTAAAGGAAGCTGCTCAGTTTGTATGATGCTATCCATTGATTTTGGGAGCTTCCACGTTCAGCATTTGACTTGTGGCTTATTTATCTTCCGGTCTCTAGTTGTCTGTCTCTGAGGGTGTGTGGGTATGACTGTGGGTGGTACTTGTGCCATTCGTTCCCACTTATCAGAAGTCACCACACTGGGAAAAAATTACTTATTTTGAGCCCCTTCTCGTCTCTCTGTATTACTTGGATATGTATATACTTTGTGCAGAATTATCTTTCAACCCTCTCCAAATGTCTCACAATGAGAAAGGAACTAATTTTAGTATGAATGTTCAGGGGAAATGTAAAAGAGCCACCTTACGAATGTAAATTAAAACATTACTTTATCAGTAAGAAACAGTGATTCTGGAGGAAAATTAAGGCAAGCTTTTTCAGTAATATAAATGATGTTCAGTCTTAAGCTGGAATACTGAAGAGATGTTGGGGACATGGCACATATCTGATTGTAATTGTCACTAAGGCATACAAGTGGGGTGGCAAACATTATAGACTTGAGGAATTGAAGTCTGATTCATGATTCTTTACCCATCAAATTGATTGTTCATGAAATATGTGTCCAAAGAAAATAATTGTACATGCCAAAATGTTACTTACCATTTGAACTAAAGACAAGAAGATTTATAAAGATAAAAGTATTTTATTTATTTAATGTTTTTTCTCTCTGATTTCATTTTTTCTTTATAATTTACCATACTTATATATGGTAGTCAATTTTATGCTTCTCATTAAATATAACTTAGTAACCAAATATTATTAGTTGAATAAACTTTGTGAAAGATATTTTAAACATTTTTTAGTATGAAAGGTGCAATATGAAATGGTGTTTTTTATGTTCTCAGATGTAGTATTTATCTGGGAGTGATATTTATGCAATGTTAGGTGATTGCATCCAATTTTGATAATCTTCACAAGGAAGCAAAATGTGGGTAAACAGTGTGGACACAGATGACAAAACTTTGAGCTATGCTGTTTTCTCTTGCAAACACTGCAACTCTAGGCATCTAAACGCCCTGAATATAAAGGGACGAATAAACTACATTTCAAAGGATCTTCTCCTTGCAGCTCATCCACTGCTTGAGGAAATGCATGGTGAAATGTGCATAGTTCTAAAGAGATTTTGATGAATTCTTCTGACATTTTTTCTATCTTTCTTTAAAAAAAAAAGTGTGTGAAGACACCTAAATGTTCTGGCAGACAGAGAAAGGGTCCATATACAAACAATAAGTCGGTAAACTTCCCATTTCTTCAGGTTGGACAAAGGTTGGGAACACCCTCATCTTTACACTTTCCTGCCTAGCAGAAACTCTATAACTGACGATCTGCTAAGACTTGCCACACCTGTGCCTGTGCATGTCTTAGCTTTCATGAAGCTGTGGGCCTATCAGCTCCCATTTCTCTGTTTAAAATGACCAATCAATGATAAGAGGAAGTGGGGCGGGGCACCTAAAGCCACTAAAAAATTCTAAGGCCTCCAGAAAGGGGAGACTCTGATTTTAGTTTCTAAATCCCCTCTTCACTTGAGGAGAGGTTTGTCTCTTTGTGCTCCTTGCTGTGTGGGTTCCTGTTTTCAAGGCATCTTGGCTGGATGCAGAGACCGTAGTTTTCATGACTTTTATTCATTAAGTCAGCAGGAAAAAAAAAATCCTGTTTTTCTGGAATCCTAGAAGAGTTGGTTTCATGGTGTGTGTGTGTGTGTGTGTGTGTGTGTGTGTGTGTGTGTGCACATACTAGAAGACAAAGAGTCAGTTCTTTTAATTATTGGATCTGTATATTGAATTCAGTTATCAGGCTTACACAGAAGACATATTCACCTGCTGATCATTCAATATAATTAATATATAAAACTCCTAACAATGAATCTTTTCATTATTTTTATAATATTGAACAACATAAATGCTGTGATACTCTGTTTACAAATATATTATCTCTATCAGTATAATCTTGTCTTTTTATTGTTATTAAAACCATACTTTCTGTATTTTACAACTGTGTAGAAAACATGGAAGTTTTACCACATTAAATTAATATTCTTATTATGAACAGATATAGACTTTCAATGTGAAAATAGATATTTTATTATCTAAAAGCAGTAGCAAAGTCTTGACAGTTTGCCTTTTTCCTTAGAGTATGTTATTTACTCTGTATTTGTTAAAATCTATGAAACTTGCATTTGGTCTTGTCCCATCTAGGACTCTAAATAGTTAACATGTCTGGGACAATTTTTTTTCCAGTAGAAACTTTTTTTCCTCCTTGATCCTCTATTTTATGAGAGCTTCCTCACCGTAGACAGAGGTAGATGGAGTCTTTTAATCCCATGAAATGTATACTAAGTGTTTCTAGGTAACAGTATAGTGTATTCAGACTCATCAGAGAAAGACTGGTTAACAGTATTTCTCCACCATGGAGATATAAAACTTTTATATCAGTGATTTTATAAAAAAGGTTCTTAGGAGAAAAATATCCTCAAATGGCTACCCTCCCTTCTTAACAAGGAGACCACACATATCTCAAGATCAGTCTTTTATAAGATAGACCTCCGTGTTCAAATACTTCACACATTTAAAATGAAAACCAAACCATAGAAAAATCCACATAGCTACGCAACTCTTCTTTTAGGGTATCCATATGCTTGTCCTTGGCGAACCTGATTTCACTGTAAAAACAAAATCTATTAATAAGAAGGGTAAAGAAGGACTTCAAAGCAGTCCATCCTTATCTTCTCTCCCTGTCATTTCCCCAAAATTTAAACAGGCATTTTCTGAGATTTTTGAACTAGGAAATCTTTGTTAGAAAATGGAATAAAGTTGTTTATTTTCAATTTTGTTCATATGGATGGCTCCTGCTTATTGAAATGAGAGGTATATGATTAGATATGAGAACCTCTCTCTACCTTTTATGTTAGCCAATTCTGGGAAAGATTGGAAAATAATCTTGATTTTCTACTCATGTCATCATATTTCTCAGAATTCTCAGTGACTTATTTAGAGGACTTGCAGCAAATTAACTTTGTGTACAATAGTTTACTTCATATTAGAATCATAAAAAGAATTTTCCATTTTTTAGCCTACTGATTTTCATAGTACAATTAAGTATTTGTTAATTAAACAAGTTACTGACTATTACCTGTTATTTTCCTTTTTATTCCCCATAGAAATCAATTCCAAAGTTTATTAGAAATAGAAAAAAACATTTCTCAAAGTCAATTCTTGTTAAATTCTCTGTAAAATAATACACGTGAACAGAAAATCACTACACATTTGGTCCAAGATATGTTGGGTTTTTCCCTTCTTCAGATGACAGATGGATGTAGCCAAATCTATGAGCGCGTGTACTTGCCCCAAATGTGCAACATAAGTCCAGAAGCGATGAACAGAAGACTCATCACCAACACTGGAACAGGGCCAACTTTGAGCCCTGGGGAGTCTTCTGTGTAGAATCGCGACATTCCTCCAGTCCCTGCAGAGGTGGTGCGGCCTGCACTCCGCGTCCCACAGCTGGCAGTTTTTCTCTGCCGGACCGTGGATCCCGCTGCCCGTGCGGCCACCGCTTTGCTGGGAGAGCGCCCTGAGGAGCCCACGTTGGTGCCACTGGGCGTCGGACCCGGCATGCTGATGCCAAAGAGCGGGCTCAAGAGACTCGGGTGCGGAAAGTCGTGCTGTTATTTTCCTTTGATGTTGTTACTATTCTCGAATGTTCTTTAATGAGTAAAAACTCAAAATATCTATAAATAGAGCATGACATTATTGATGTATGTCAAAGTTCTAAATAAGAGGAAGTTACATATATTGAGAAGACGGGGAGATAATTCCCATGAATACCATCAATTTACTGAATGCAGTTTACCATAATTTGGGTAATTTGCTATACATAAAATCTTCAGAGTTAGTATAAATCACTCCTCAAAAATTCCTTATAATACCCTAACTTGAAATTGGGTGAATGTCTTTGTGTTAGTAATTCATTAAGAATTAGAACCACCATAATTGATTTTGATTATTAAAAGTAATTTTAGTTCATTTTTTATCAAATCATACTCGCATGTTAGCAAGAGGAGGTATTTTAAATGTATTTAAAATAGATAATTGCATAAGATACTAATTTTTTGGGCTGAAGCCTACTTGATCATAATGGATAATTTTTCTAATGTGTTCTTGGATTCGGTTTGCCAGTATTTTATTGAGAATTTTTGCATCGATGTTCATCAGTGAGATTGGCCTGTAATTCTCTTTCTTGGTTGTGTCTTTGTGTGGTTTTGGTATCAGAGTAACTGTAGCTTCATAAAAAGAATTTGGCAATGACTCTTCTGTTTCTATATTGTGAAATACATTAAGGAGTATAGGTATTAGCTCTTCTTGGAAGTTCTGGTAGAATTCTGCATTAATTAAGTAGAACAAAATACTCAACCTAGAAAGTTTGAAAATGAAGGAGATGCTGTCCTAGCTAGGTTGGACAATGTCACCAAGGAAACTTCTCTTTGTAACAACCGGAGATCTTAACAGTAAAGCACAACAAATCGAATTGCAGGGTTGTGGTTCCCAGTCTCATTGAAAACATCTACAAAACAAGTCCTCGTTCCAAGGCTTGGGGACCATTGCAGAAATTGTAGAAAGATTCTAAGAGGCCAAGATGCAAAACTGTAATACCAGGGAGTTTAATGTGAGGTTATGTCTCCCAGTAATGCAAAGAGTCTTCCCCATACAAGTTCACATCAACCTGTCACTTAATGCCATCTGGTTGGCCCTGACAATGTAAATTCCTGTAGGTCTATGGAGACTGATCTGGTTCCATCTAGTAATAGATATGGAACTCAGAAACACACACATGATAGCACAAGAATGCTCACATGCACATATACATCTATGCAAGTAATAGCAGGTAGTGAAAAAAAATCCATAAATTTGAAAGAACAAGAGTAAGAAATAGTATATGAGAGGTAGGAAAGAAAGAAATGATGCAATTACATTAAAATCACACACACACACACACACAAATGTAACATGGTTACTAAATTCTTTCCCATGATTTCAGTTTGGGTGTGGCAATTAAATTGTCATATGTGACTTATTTCTTATCAGTTTAATGGAAAAACGAGTGGTACTAAGTTATTAAAAGAGTTAAATTTATTTGAAGGATTTCTCATAAATATTCTAGTTTACATGTTTAGACAGTGTTGCAAACATTTATTTTTTCCCGAAGATAGCAAAGAAGTATGTGCCAAGATACAGGAGTGAAACTTGCCAGATGTCCAACAGCCTCAAGCCACACTGATATTGGTCAAAATTTGAAAGCTCACAGATGTAAGGCAGTCTGTTATTCTGCTGCAAGCACTATTTTCATTCCAGGAAATCCACTGAAGTGTATGACATCAGAGACATATATTTATATTTTAATTCTGTCATTTTGATCAGTGGAAGACCGCATGCAACAAAATAATTCATATACTAATATATAAAAGGAATTATCCTCAGGGAAAATATAGACGCGATTTTAAAGAGTAAAATATTTTTTATTATTTAAACGTTGTGTTATTAAAATAGCACACCTTAATGAGTTTTAGCACAGAATTTATTATTATTACTAGCGAACATGAGTTAGCTGTCTGCTGTGTATTAAAACTGTTTTTATAAGCCTGTGTAGGTCAATAGAAGCTTGATTCTTTTTACGGAAACATTGTTCTTTTTGAATGGTGTCTCAGTCACAGTCACCTTGAGAAAAAGATCTGCAATATGTTTGACATGCTGCATTAATACTTTAAAAGCACAGAAGACGACAGCAAAGCATACTGAACCAGAGAGAGTCAAGGGCAACTTCAGGCAATCTGGTAAGGGAAAGCCTCTTGATGAAGAGATGCTATATATCATATCATCTTACGAATGAGGTGTTGTTCAAGTCATGTCTGAGGAGTGGAAGAATTACAGGTGGAGAAATGTCAGGTGCAAAACTCCTGAGGGTAGAACAAGAAATACGTGCACGAAGAACAGATCAAAATCCTGTGTCACCAAATGAAGTAGAAACTATAGAGAGACCTATAGTGAGTGACGGCAGAGTTTGAAATTTATTCTAGGAGCAATGAGAAAGCCGTGATTGGCTGATTTTTGAACGTGGTATATATTTTTGTTTTGCCAATAATCACCATTACCTAAAGCATATAACCATGATGATACACATGATGACAGGAGATGACTGCACATGACATTTCTGGGAAGAGAAGGTGGCATCAGTGGTACATCTTCCAATCCTTGCTGCTTTATAGGAATGGTAAACATGGCCTATCTTGTAAGCTCATAGAAGAATAACTCTGGCATATCTGAAAAACAAAAGTACTAAAGGGAAAAGGCTATACCACTCTGGAGCAGAAGCTGGAGGCAGGATTGAGACCTTCAAGGCTGGAAGGGGATGATTGTTGACGTTCTACAGTTGGGTATCAGCTGAATAGTTTTGTATCCTGTGCTCTCAGAAAGTTCCATTTTCTTCTAGGTCTTTCCATCTATACTCATTCACAAGCTGATCTGAGTGTTTCTGCTGTCCACTCATGCATTTCCTGAATTGCATTCTCCTCTTTGGCATTTTCTTTCATGCATTTTGAGTATTTTTTTATTTTAATTTCCAGCTCAACAAAGATTGAGCACTGCTTGTTTGAACAGTCTGGGGGATGCTACTTAAAAGGAGGTTTTTGTAGAAACCCACTCCCTTCTCTTGGCTTTTTAACAATGTGTTCCTTATTTTCTCTGCTTGTATTTTCCCAGTACCCTCTTACATTGTTCCTTTTTTTAAGAGTACAGTTTGCCTACAGCTTCAGAATTCTTTTGTGCTCTGCCAGCATCATTGTAATTCCTCAGGGATGTAATATTATAGACAAGGACCAAAACCTCATTTCTGTTTCTTCATTTGTCACTTAGCAGTCTAAATGTAGAAGCTAAGATAGGCTGAAGCTGAAGAGGAACATTTTTCAAGGTCTTATTTGGTGTTACCACTTAATCTTCTTGTCTGTTTGTTCACCACAATGGTTAAAATATTTTCTTCTCCTGAAGAAAATTCCAAAGAGAACAAACATCAGGAAATCCCAAGAAATATATTCTTGGTCTCACCATCAGAGTAGGCATGATAGCTGGAATAAATATGCAGTGTATGTGAGATCATCTTTATTCTTCACTAAAGACAAATGACAAATACTGTCTCTTTACATCTACCATCAAAGGCCTGCCCTTTCCTCCCTCTCCATAAGCCACTTTTTTAAGGCTCAGGTCTAACTTTGCTCTGAAATTCTTTGAAGCAGAATGCTATAAACAGTTATGTATTTCTGGAAGAATTATAATTTTAAAGTTAGAGAATAAATGAGAAAGAGTAAATCAGTTGTTCCAAGTAGTATAACATGAAATAATAGATGGTATCTGATTACAATAAGGCAAAACATTGGAAATAGATACAATGGGGGAAATATGCTGTTGTAATTAAGAGGGAACATGTGTAAAATTATTGACAGATAAGACGTAGGTATGGCAATTTAGAGGAAGGAAAATCATAAAAGTTCCCTTTGCTTTCATATTTAGAAGTAAGTGGACTATAGTGTTATTTACTGAAATAGAAATTATTAAATTGAAAGAGTGATAGAAGGTTTGGCTTGGAAGAAAAGAAAATTAGAGTAAGGAAGTAAGATATATGTTTTCTTGACAAGTTAATTTTGAATGATCCTTTAGGCAGTATGAAATGTCAGTGCTAAATTGAATATCTGAGTTTAGGGTTAGGAGAATGATCTATCCTGATTGAGTGTTTTGAAAGATGTTATTGTGTTAGGAGGCTATCTTAATTTTTGTAGACAAATGGACATTAGAAAAAGAAAAGGAACTGTTATGCAAAGAATTTGCATGTTTGCTAAATAAGACTAAACATTTTAATCACATTACATACAGTTTTCTTGACTATCATACAAATGAAGAGAGGAGATCAAAATAGATTAATTACTTAGTGCCTAGGTGTTTAGTAAATATTATCTTGCCTAATCCCTCATACTCCTTCAACTCACATCTTATTGTAATTATATATAAGAATAGTATTTGGACAGATTTTGCTATATTAAAAAGTTTCTAGGCTCTAAGAGTTTTATTTATTGGAGAATACAATTACATCAACATATTTAGAATTTTACACAGTGTGATAACTTCTACATGTATCAGTTTTGGTAAGAAAACTGAGGAAATAAGTTGTTATATCAGAATGATGAATTTTTAGAAGGATTTTAATCATGGGATAGTAATTTGGATGCAAGCTCTTGATAGACAATCATAACAATAGATTTTTAGTAGAATGGTTTCAAGGAGGTCAAACTATTATACAGCAGATGAAAAACACATTGACCAATAATAGTTGCAGACACTGTAGGGCTTATTAAATATTTTGGCATTTTAGGAAATGTCTAAACAATTGAAATACAGCATTTATGAATGGAGAACAGTCTGTACTTTCTAGAATTGACATTCTAGAATATGTGGGGGAAAATTAAAACATCCCTAAAATAATAATAACATTTTGAAACACACAAAAATGTGACACACAAGGTTAGAGATATGACACACTGGTATTTAGGAGAAGGATAGGGTAAAGATAACCAGGGTTGTTAGGCAGACACTACTGAAAC